TAAAATTTTTTTAAAATTTAAAAATTTTATTTATATTTATATATATAAAATAAATCTCTTAATATATATTTTATATTGGTTAAGCTCCTATGTCCTCATAGTCAAGGTCAACAGTTCAAGTTCGGCTAGAGGCAAAAAACTAAAAAGATTTTAGCCTCTGTAACCCAATAAAGAGCCAGTAATTGAATGCAAAGCCCTGTGATTAAGTTTAAGTGCAGTATATAACCGAAGTAAGAATTTCTAGAAGAAGACCCAATTATGGAATACAGGTACTATGTATAACAAGTGGCTGTTACAGAAGGTTACAGTTATGGAAAGATTGCACATATAAGTCCTTTAGACTAGGGCAGCACCAACATCCCTACACTTCCTAATTAGGCAGTACCAATATCTTCACACCCAACTTGTAAGGTACTTGCTTGGAAGGATAATCAACAGATTGTGCAAATAAGTCCTAATTGGGACTCAAAGAAAAGGATTTAATTGAGAGAGTAGTCTGGAAGTAACCAAGACTAGAATGGTAAAAGAAGTGGTGAGCATGAGGACAGGCTGTGAAAAAGGATTAGTCTTATCAAGATTAGAAGCACTTCTGGTACTGTAAAATGTCCTGATATTGAAGATAGCAAAAAGTATAGAGGAAGTAACCTGTTCTGTATGTCTAAAGGTACCAAGCTGAAGCTTTGGTCATACCTATATAGAAGTTTATAACAATATAAGGATGAACATACCAACATGAATGCTACACCAATTAAGGTTAAGATACCCCAAATTGAAAATAATAGTAATATTATGATGGTGACAGCTGGAAGAGGTAACTTGCAAAACAGGTTCAGACTATTATCATAAAAGAAAGTACTAAAAGGGCAGGTTAGTTGCACAATTCATTAAAAATAACACTAAAACTAAAAAAGTGCAAACCAGTAGTAGTAGCAGGAACCTGGCTTAAGATACGAACTATAAGGCATTGTTCTGGCAGACCAAAGATGGTAGCTCATAAGGAGTAAACAACCTGGTAGACCAATTTGAAAGTTGTTTAAATAGGTTGCAAGACATAGGGGGAATATGCAGGTTATTTAATATAGATGGATGTGAAACAAAAACACAGGTTATGTGTAAATGAATACAAGATTAGCTCTAGTAGATTTAGGTCGCAGATAAATTAGTCTGAGTCTCATTTCTTAATTAGACATATAGTAATAGATGATGTATAATATAAAAAGTTGTACAAACTGTAACAATATGTTTGAATAAACAGACCTAAGGCATGACCTCACCTTAACTCCAAAAAAAAAATATTATTAATTATTAATTTTATAAACTTGCTATATGAGTATATTTTATATAAAAAATTACTATATTTTTTATATTTACAAGTATTTATTTATAAATTATTCTGTTAAAAATTTTTTTAAATTTTAAAAAAAATTTATTTTATATATAAAATAATATAAAAAACAATTTTATATAATAGACAAAATATAGGTTATATAATAAAAAAAGGTTTATATAAAATAGCACAGTTGTGCTATAGCGCCTCTGAATCAGCCAATCAAATCACAGATATATGTCATAGGATCTACTTAATTCAAATAATTAGTATTGCTAAAATTACTATATAACTTTTATATTCATGTGATACTCAATAAAAATAAACCAATAATGGATCTCGATTTAATATAACATCACACAATTATAAAAATTCAGAACAAATGTTCAAAATCACTTAATTCAAATTCTGCATAGCTTTTGCACATTAACAAAAAGTTTTTCTTGATCAATTTTATTTAGAAACTAACCTCTTGTCTAATATAGACACTAACTCTAATATAAACAAACTTATTAAAAGATTTTTGAATAGCATGTGAGCATAAAAATTTTGTTGATGCTCCTGAAGAAGATTGTAAATAGAGTTTGAAATTTAAACTTGATCTTATTTTAAAACTTGTCAAAACCCTGTTTCAAACTTATATCAATATAGTAAAGTTATTTTACCTATAGCATGTCCTTATTCTAGCATATTATTTTAGTTTACACTGATCCTAACTCTTAAAAACAGTTAATTTATTCTTGTAAGTTAGTTCATATTGTACTTGACACTGAATTCAGAGATAAGTATGAAGTATTAGTAGATATACTCTTACTTCATTTTATTTACAGTTCATTTAGCCAACATTATGTCAAGTGGCAATTTACTAAAAATATACACTTGTAACTAATAAAACATTAACTCTAACCCTATATGATGTTGGCTAAATAAAATAAAGCAGTACCAGTATTGGTATATATTGTTTTATGAATTATTAGTAACAAGACGCAGCCATATACTAATTGATAAATTAAGATACAAATTAGCAAATGAGGAAAAAAATAAAAGCACTAAGTTCTTTTGCAATAAAGATCTGATATATTATGTATCATAGAATAATGTTGTAGCACCTATGCTGTAAGAGATCTCTAGTAGTAGTATAAGTAAGAACAAAACTAAAGTTAATTTGGAATTCAATTATAACTGATATTCAGTTATATCTATATATAGTGTAAGACTATAATGCTCTATAACTTCCAAGTAATACAATGCATTAACAATACAACTCATCTTTCTGCTACAAATTACGTTTATAGTTTTTCTAATAATGACCAACATTGTCACATTTCTTACAATGTCTTTTCTGTTTTTTGGTAACTTTTTCACATGCTGATTTAAGTTGTTTAATGCCAGGAGGCTGACCTCTATCACGTCTTTTCTTAGGATTCAATAATATGAATTTTTGATTTTTTTTATCACTGTTGCTTTTATCTTCAGATGAGCATTCAGAAGAGTCTTCACCTTTTTCTATAAATTCTTGTAAAAGATCAATGAGTTGTCATGAATTTGATCTGCTTTTCAAAACTTTATTAAGAGCCATCTTATAAGTGCTGTGTAACTCTTCGTAAACTTTTCTTTGCTAAATAACATTAAGACTCTCTTCCAGAAAATCTTGATTATCCTAACTAAATGCACATAAATAAGTAATAGGGAAAGCTATTTCTTTTATTAATTTTTCTTCATAAAATTTGTTTGCTCTTAAAAACAGTTCATTAGATACATTAATGTCTTTATAATACCAACATGAAGGAATAAACCAGATATGAAATTTGGCAATATCTGTTATAAGCATTACTTTGAAATAATGTTTACAGACAATGCCTTGTTGGATAACTATTAGGCATGAACAAATATAAGATTGATTTTTTAATAGTAATATATGATGTTTCGTGATAATAGAATTATATACTAATAAGGATGGTGATCCTAGTGTAGTGGTTGGGTTGTCATCCTCCAAGTGGCAGGTCTAAGGTTCAAATTCCACTTACGACAAAATTTGGAAATTATATCTGTGTTATGGTAACTGTCTCCTGTCGATCGGTTGGCCTCATGTGGCTGTTACCCA